GGGAGTTGTGACACTAACAACTTGTGCTGTTAGGAAAGTGCTTCTCTGGGTTTCTGTTTTTTCATTTACACAACGAGGGATTGGATACGTTGATCTCTTAAGGGTGCTTCCATTTGGAATGGTCTACATTTGAATTTGATTTCCTTCTACTACACCCTTGCTGCCTCAGCCAGCATAGAAATGGGAAGAAAAGATCGCCCATTTTACGCTTGTTTGATTCTATTCCTCTTCTACAAGTGCTATCTTTGCTTCAACTGTCCCAAAACAATCACCCCCAGATGTCCTGTTTTAATTAGGTTCCTTTTCTCTTATGGCTTTTGCACAGGTTTCACCCCCCTCCTTTTCCTCCCTCATCCCCAACCAATCTGCCTGAACAGAAGCATACCCCCATTTCACTTCACAAATAGGTTTTTCTTGGTATTATAGCAGTCATGTTTGTGCTATACGGATACCAAAGTAGATGGGGCAAGGAGATGATGCCACATGTAATGCTTAAAGGTGACACTTCTAACATCACACACGACATGTCCAGTTAAGAAAACTTTAGCTATGAGAGGTAGGGACTTCCTTCTATTTATTTTCCCTCCTCTGCTGGCCAGTGTTCATTGCCAGAACCATTTCAAAGCTTTAGGAAACAAACAACATTCTGAAGAGAGGACAATTAATCTAATTAGAGATTAGTGGTACTGAGCAGACAACCCATTATTAAAATCCCCCATGGCCAACAGTGCCTCCATTCCTGACACTCTGAACAATCTTTGGATGAGGAAAATTATGACTGTGATGGCTCATCCACATGCAAAACCTGTCACGAACCATGTGCACCAGTGGCACAGAAGGAGCGAGTGGAAAAGAAATACTGAATTAATTAAAACAAAACTATGGAGACACCCCGAACTGAATCCCTCTGGGCTTGGAGCTCGAAGCATACATGTTATGTAAAATTCCCTAGGAACACATCACGTATGTCACATTGCTATAGCCAAGTGACAAAGACGTCAATCACAATTGTCTCCTACATTCATTTTCCTAAGAGATTTCAAATCACCTTTGGTGTTTGTCTACTGACATGGTGGTGGTGGGGTATTTATTTCTCTACTTCAACACCTTATCTCCCAAGAATGTAAATATTTCACTGAATAGCAATACTGTGGACCTCTGTTTGGGAGAAGAAACCTCATACACAGGGCTCTCCCCAAGGGCTTTTAAAGGGCAAGCCCAGGAATCTGCTGAGTAGGTAGAGATATTGCTGCAGGCACTGTTGTGAGCCTTGTAGGACAATACTAGTAGCTTGCAAATTGCCATATACAATGAAGCAATGTGGCGAGGAAATGTCAAATATTTAGTCAGTACGGGTTATTTCTAAGGAAGCAACAGTAGTATAATGGTTAAGAACAGAGGCAGCTGGAGATAGACTCACAAAGTTCAAACTCCAGCTTTGCTATTGACTAGCTGTGTGATCTCGGGAAAGTGACTTCACTTCTCTGTGCCTCAGTTTCCTCATCTGCAAAAAAAGGCTGATCATAATAGTTTCTATCTCATAGGGTTGTTAGGAGGGTTAAATGAGGCAATACATGTTTTCTTTTTCCTCTGTGCTTATAACATTAACTGGCACAGAGAAAGCACTCAATGCTGACAGCTATTATTATTACAAGTACCACAATGTGCTCTAGGTGGTACAAAAGGGAACTAACCAAGCCTCAGCCTTCAAAGAGATCACAGACTACATGGGATGGCATGGAATGTACATAAAAGGAGCATGAACAACGCAGGACTGTCTCCACTGTACGTTTAGATGCAATAGCAGCAGGTCAGGATGCATCAGAGTGGTTCAGTGAGGCCCTCAATTCTCATTAGGAGAGAACTTCAGGCATCTACAGAGAAGGAGAGTGAGAACCTGAGTAAGTTAGCAGCTACCAGCATCACTGGTATCAGTACTTTTGGGTACTGCTTTGTACAGTAAATAAAATAAAAGCAAGTTTTACGTCTTAGCCACAGGCCAGCTCTTCCCAACACTTTTGTAACCAGAAACCATGCTTAATTTACTAGAGTCCTTTGAGGATTTAAATAGCACACTGATGGAGCAGAATAGTGTATGCTATTTCAACTTTTAAAAAGTTTGGCAAGCTTTAAAACCCAAAACTGTTTTGGGAAAATTGAGTTACCATGGAATTGGGGGCCAGTGTTTAGTCCTGGTTCCTTATACATGGCTTGGAGATAAGAAACAAAAGATACTGGTAGAGCTAAAAGGACACTTTTATGAATGACAGAAAATAATATAGTAAGGCTGCAAGAGATCAGCTGTGGGACTAATTTGATTTAATATTTATAAATGAGCTGGAAGAAGGAGTGTAGTGTAAAATCCCTAAGTTGGCAGATGTCTTTGCACTATTCCAATGAAGATAATAAACTTCAGGAAAATGTTTGTTTTGTAGGAGTGGGCATAAAAGTGGTCAGCAAGCTTCTATATGAACAAATCCAAGGAAATGTCTCTAGAGACATTTATTTCAGAAGATTTCTAATGAGCCTTACCTTTTTATCTGTGAATAGGGTCTCTGCTTCAGACATCAGTAGGTGTAAATAAAAATAAGATGGAGTTGATGGTGTCATCAAAGGGAAATGATATTTAAAGAGAGAGGGTTATATGAACATAAAAAAGGAGACTAGTAGTAAGCTGATAAAGAATGTTTCTTTACAGCCCCCAAAGGCAGTTGATGTTTAATGGTTGGTGATTCGTGTATTCACTAACTTTTAAAGTTAAATAAAATGAATATGTTAGGCTACCATTTTAGAAGAAATGCAATCAGATGTTCTCTTCAACTTGACTATGAAATACTTGCCTTTTCAGAGGATGACTTTCTTGTTTATTTTTTATTGTTGATATTATTACAGACATCCCCTACTTCCCCCCTCCACCCAGCCCCCGCCTCACCCCAGGCCTTCACCACACTATTGCCCGTGTCCATGGGCTCTGCATATAAGCATATGAGTTCTTTGGTTAATCTCTTCCCGCCCTCCCCCCTTCCCTCTGAGATTGATCAGTCTGTCCATGTTTCCATGCCTGTGCGTTGACCGTCTGCCCCCTGGTGGTCAGTGTGCGTCATAGCTACCGGTTGAACGGTCAAACAGTCGCTTAGGCTTTTATATATATTCTAGTGTCCCGGTGCACAAAATTCGTGCATGGGGAGGGGGGTCCCTCAGCCCAGCCTGCACCCTCTCCAATCGAGGACCCCTTGGGGGATCAGGCCTAAACCGGCAGTTGGACATCCCTCTCACAATCCGGGACTGCTGGCTCCTAACCACTCACCTGCCTCCCTGCCTGATCGCCCCTAACATCTCTGCCTGCCTGCCTGATCACTCCTAACTGCCTCTGCCTGATCGCCCCCAACTGCCCTCCTCTGCTAGCCTGGTTGCCTCCAACTGCCCTCCCCTGCCAGCCTGATCTCGCCCAGTCTCTGTCTCTCTTTGTTTTCCCCAGCAGTCCTCCAAACCTCCCAGCCTCCCTGTCTCCTTCTTCCTCTTTCCCGGCTGGGAGGGGGTGGGGCCAGTGGGGGCTGCTCCACCCTCTGCCCACCCTCCCTTCCATCCAGGCCTCTTCAGGCCCAGTCTGTTTTGTTTCCTCATTCTGAGAGAGGCTCAAAGAGCAAGCTGGGAGGGAGGGAAAGAAAGGGAGAAAAGGCTGTGAGCTGGTGGGCGTGGTGTGTGTCTGTGCATGTGAGCAGTTGTGAGTGAGTGTGAGTCCTGTTTATTGCCTCCCCAGTCCCCATCCCCCCTGCCACAAGTC